CTCTAAAACACGTATGAGGTGGAACTGGGCTTTACAACAAAGAGGACTCTAGTTTCCACTTTTAAAATAGTCTCCTGAGGTTCTCAAAAAAGTGGAGGACATATTTTAAAAGGAAGGAATTGTGGGTTTTTGTTTTTGTTTTTGTTTTGTTTTTTTTATCAAAACATGACTTTTGGAGTCATAACCAATTAGGAATCTACTCCCTGCAACTATAAATAGCCTTTTCCATAGTATATAATGACCAGAGGCCACATCAGACATGAGGGACTCAATATGAAGAGAATTTTTATGGTTAATAAACGCCACGATCTTAGCCTCTTTTCTTCTAGATATGGGAAGGAAAAGGATAATTAAGTGAGTGTTTAGATCCCAAATAAAAAGTTAATATTCCTGTTAAACAAAAAATATAAAGTGAATTTATTTTATAGAATTTTTCATAATGGGTCCAAAATACTTCATTAAGCATTTCTGGATAAAAATATGTAAAGCTCTTTATAAGCTTTTGTTAATATATTAAATACCATTTCTCTATAAATATGCCTTGCATTAATCTTTCCTGTTAGTTTTCAGGAAACATTTCAAATAAAGTAGCTGAGCATAACCCATTTGAGATGAATGAGATCATTAGGAAACACATATCTGAAATAAGCTCTGAGATCATTCTGCATACAACCCAAGGGCCCTAATTTTTTAAATATTTCAAACACTGTGCCCCTTTCAAATCATTAGACTTAGAGACATTTAAGGAACTGATTCAATTAACCCAGAAGAAGGAAATGCTATAATGTGTGATTTATTTTTGCAGATAAATTAAAACGCAAGTGTTATCTGCTAGAAAAGGTAGGCTGTCATCATGGTTAGTGATGGGAACAGGAAGGCAATTAAGCAGGACCACTTGAGGCTGAAATAGCCCCTGAACATGGAAGTCTGAAGTTCAAGCTGGACATTCAGTTATTGTCAACACCAGAAAGATTCCTTCGTTGGAAGGAATCTTTGTGCTTCACTTAATTCCCCTCATTGATTTCTAAAAGATGTTTCTCAGTTTAAAAAAGTACTTCCCCCTCCCCCTTAACAGCAATCTGAAAAGAAGCCTAAATTGCTATGGTTTCATACCTTAAAGTCAAGCTTCACATAAAGCTGATGCCTGAAAATTACAACTTTGCATTCTACTCTTTAGGTGAGGAAATATGAGGCAAGAATTTATTTTTCTCCTCTACAACTCCAGGATATTGGCTCCACCAGGCCTAATAAATTGTTTTCACAAGGAAATAAATAGAGCATGTTGTAGCTTACGTTCCCTTGTGCAGGGAGTTTTAAGCAAGATGTATCCTAAACAATAAATAATTACAGATGGGGGAGGGTGAGAGAAGGAAACATTATAAGGGTGGGAAAAATGTTTAACAAAATCAAGGAAAAGACTGAAATTCAAAATGTTAGAAATCTGAAGATAGTTAAAGATTGCCACTTTAACCATTGTGAACTCTATGGAAGAAATGAGAGGACAATAAAACGAGTTAATAAAAGAAAGAGAAGAGGAGGAAAGAATAAGAACGTGAGAGAAGAGATGTCAAGGCAGCTTTCAAAGTAAGTTAACAGCAGAATAAATTCTACTCATAGAAACCAAGAAAACTGAAGAAGTAGTTATAATTCACTGTTCTTTTCTGCTAAATCTTGTTTCCCATCTCGAATTAAAGAGTTTGGACAAAAAATGGCCATAATCATGAACTGAAGATTGGAGGAAAGAGGATGATTATATGAAGAAAAAAAATTCTTAGAAATCTATGAACAGACAAGGTTAGAGTAAAAGATGGGGAAAAGCAAACCAAAACTTAAGATCAGGAAGAGGAAATATTCCTTAATCAGAGAGCATAGGAAAGTTAGCTTCATTTGCCATTGAAGCGGTCAACAGCACTATAGAGAATATATTTTGCTTTTTGCTCAAACCACTCAACAAAAATTCTTATTAAATAGGTACTATGTGCTCCACACTGTTTTAGGAATTGAGGAAGGTGCAAGAGGAATAGACAACACAGTTCCTGCGCTGACAACACACTTCAACACACTTCTCTACTGTCTAGTTGGAGAGTAAGTCTTACACAAAGGAAGCCATTAGGGAACGATTCAAACTAGTCTGTCATCTGTCACTGTACTAGACCTTTTGGAGATGTTTAGGAGAAGAAGCCAAGAGACCCTCTTTTTCCTGCCTAAACAAGAAGGGAGTCTCTTTATTGCTCTTCCTCACTGTGTAACAAATGCTAATAATTCCATCATCCTGTTCCTTCCAGCCATGGTGGTGGAACTGTAGTTAGCACACCAGGGGTGAGTCAAAGGTGAACACCCTTGTCCTATGCTTCGAGAAGAATATAAATCAATGGTTTCTGGTTTGTGACAGTCTTTCCTGACAATATTCATTTATCAGTTCAATTTATACAGATTTCCCTTTTCTCTGCCTCGGAATCTTTTGATGACTTCTCCTTCTCAGGGTCTCAAGATCAAAGTCTTTACAAGCTTGAGACAACTGCCTTGCCCAGCCTCCTCTGCTGCTTCTCCAGCACAACTGATGTCCCCTAAAAAGCATTCTCTACACCTTTGCTCTTGTGGACTCTTCTGCCTATACTGTCCTTCTCTTCATTGTTGAAGCCTGATCTGTCCTTTAAGGCTCAGCTCGAAGGTCAGTGTCCCCAGAGAGCTGGCCTCTTCCTTGGTGGGGCACCCAGGTCATGTTGTTGTTGCTCTTTCATTCCTTTTCCCCACAACTCTCATAGTCAGTGATCCACCTCTCTGTAGGGAAGGATTTAAGCTCACTAGTGGCAAGAGCTCTCTGTTGTTTGCAGCCCAGTCTCTAGCACTGTGCCTTGTATTGGAAGGCACTCAGAATATGTTTGCCTAATTGTTCCACAAGCATCACCGATTTCCCTTGCTGCTAACTTCTCCCTTTCTCTTCAACTAAATAACCTTACTTTTTAATTTCTTAATTGTATCTATAACCCTCTAAGATTTTAATGAAATTCTATATCTCATGAACATATATTTCTATTAAGACACAATTTGGGGCCATCAAGATCCCCTGTGAATTGAAATCTCACAACTGCCTTAGCTAAGGTTCATAGTTTTTCCACAAAAACAATGCACTCTGGTAACCTTGTGTAGACACTCTGGGTTCTGAGAGGCTGGACATTATTTCTTCAGACCTAATACTAAAATGAAATATTTTTGTTTATTTCCACTGGTGTTGAGCATCCAAGCACTAAGCATTAGACAGTTCTAATTACTAAAATTATCTAAGGCAGGGTCTTTTCTGGCTGACACTTAACATCCGAAGAAAAGGACTCGGAAAATGGCAATTAAGGTAGGAATCAGTAGCCCACTGCCAGGTTTACATTGGGAGTGAGAAGGCGAAGTGATCCATAAAGGTCTTTTTAATCTGGACCTCAGATTTAGCCTACTGAGCCCAAAGCCCATTCTGACATGGGGTCTCTGTGTTCTTGATGTAGACCTATATGCTGACCTCTAGAGTCTCACAAACAAGAAGAAAACCTGTTGGAGCTACGGAAACGCTTAATTTAGCAGGGTATAGTTATGGGAGTTCAACCACAAAGGGGCAGTTAAGTGAAAAGCCCTGTGTCTGGCAGGATGATAGCTGTTAGCGTGAAGAACAACAGAAAAGCAAAACTAGTGTGTTCCTATGTGTTTGGGGGCGAAGAGAGTAAGGGTTGGAAAGAGGGATCCGAGAAAGACCAGAGGGGCCAATGCAACTTGCAACTCTGGAGCGAATGAGGACCAAGGCCCCCATCCTCCCGGCGCAGCCCAGACCGCCCGGAGCCGTCCCGCCAGCAGAGGGCAGCAGCTGGGCGGGAGAGTCCTGGCGAGGGACGCGCGGCGTCGACCCGCTCCTGGGGATCCTCATTTTAAGTGTGGGGCGAAGGACTCTCGCTCATCACTACCGGTCCCTGACCCTGTGGCTACCGCGCATATTGGGCCCGGTTTCGGGGAGTGGGTGTGCGTGGGGCGGGGTCGCGGCCGAGGGCCCGGCGATCCTGCCCGGAGAAGGAAAGCGGAGGGCGCCCCGCTGGTCCTCGGGAGAGGAGGGGAGCCGGGCTTCCGCGGGCCCCGTGCCGAAGGGGATCTCCGCTCCCGCTGCAGCGTCACTCGCCCCATTCTCGGTCCGGCCCCCTCAGCGCCCGGGGCTTCTCCCGCCGACACTGCGTCCCACTCTCGGGGCCTAATCAGTGCCGGGCCACTTGGGTACCCCGCCCGTCCCCGCCGGCCAGGCTTCCGGGGCCACGACCTGCGCCCGACATCGGCCAAGGTGTGCCTCCCGCCGACACTGCCCGGTTCAGAGAGAGGCCAGTCCCGCCGGCTGAGCCGCGAGCGGTCGCGGCTCAGGTTTGCGCTCCCG